CCTGCTGCTTTTGTGCCTAAGTAAGTATAAGTGAGTGTCCACATGGGTGAGATAGCAACTATTTGGGAAAGGGGCATTATCAGAATTGTTTCTTTATAGATTATCTTCTTAGATTTTTGCCTTACTTAATTAGTTCATATTCACATCTTTGAAATCAGGGAGGAACATTTTCAGTAACTAGCTACAATGTTCTGTTCAATTATTTTTAATGTTTATGTATTAATATGGGTGAAATATACTAAGACTAAGAAAGTTTGTAAATACATTTGATGACCAAGTATACGTGCAGACGGAAGGATCACAGGGTTTATACGATGGATAAAGTACAACAATATGAAATTGAATATAAATGTTAAGTGTCAACACTTAAGTTTAAAAATACATTGGAGGCGGGTCAACTCCGTGGCCTAGTGATAAAGAGAGCTGGATCCCACATGGTCACCCATGTGATTTGAATCCTGGACCTGGGACCTTCAAAAACACAGCAGGCAAATTTATGTGTTTGCCCATAATTCCAGCAGAATGGTGGTAAAGGAACTGTGGTGTGACTACACCCTGTTGGGGAGAGCTTTCTCCCTCTTTCTGTCTCTAGCACACACACGTGCCCTCTGGCAAATGAAAAAATACCTTGGAGGGAATGGAAAGTGGCTCAGAAAAAATATGTGGAAAGTCTTAGGGTAACATATACTTTGAGTCAGCTATATGATTAAAAAAAAAAATTATGTGCTCCTAGTTCGTGTTATTAGAAGAAAATCTAAATGGGACAGATAAGCAGAAATCCTTCCTTTCCTTAGTTCTTTGCAGACCGTCCATGGAGCACTATGCACAGTTCAGCATCCTGCACTACAAGAGCAGTGTATACAAATGGAAATTCATTCCAGCAAAGAAACTAAGATATTAAGAGATTTAAAAAAGCCAAAAGAGTGTGGTGGCGGGTGAGGGGCTATTGAAGGTATAGAATACTAGCTCAGAGGAGAAGAATCTCAAGGGGAATAAGGAAATAAGGGCAGGAAGAAGGATAGTCCCTGAAGGACTATCACTTGAAAGAAGTCACTTGCTCAGTTTGGCTCCAAATAGGAGCCATGCGTGAAAGTTAGAGGAATTACTTTTTAATCCAGTGTAAGAGTAAATGGAATCACGGTTGACTGGATCACTCTAGGAAGATAGACAGCTTTATCAAGGTGTAACTTGCAGTAAACCGTACCTGTTTGAAGTGTTCAGGTTGATAAGTTTTGACATGTAGAATACCCCGTGAAACCCATCACTACAGTCAGGATGGCAAGCAAGTCCATCACCTACAAAAGTCCCCTTGTGTCACTTCTTCCAGGCCCTCCTCCATCCCCAGGCATCCACTGATCCACTTTCTTTTTTTTTTTTTCTTTCAAATATTTTTATTTTATTTTTTAATCATCATCATAATCTTCTTTATATTACATTGGATTACATATAACTTTACAGTGTATTACATTGTTTTTTCAAAAGGGAATGCCATGCATGTCCGTCAGTACAGAGACATTAATCTCCCCACTTCAACATTCAATATCTTTTCTTTGTTTTCCCCAATCATTATTTTTATTATTCTAATTATTTTTTAAAACAGTCAATTGCTATTTCTCATTTTTGCTTGTAAAAATACTTTGCCCATCATGAAATACTTCTCAGACCAATCCAGTTGAGAATACTATACATGTCATCATCAACAGATAATAAGCCATATCTGTTTATCACTAACGTCCTGCCTCTCTATTGTTCACTTGCTATCTTTCTCTATCCTCTTCTCTTCACTTACCCCATTCCACACTGTCCTATTCTCATTAAGTACCTTCACTGCTTTTATGTCCTCCGATTTTTTGCTCTCTATCATAGAGTGCGGATAGTCGGTATATATTGATTGGATACATACAATATCTTTCTTTCATAGCCTGGCTTACTTCACTCAGCAATAGATCCTCCATATCTGACCACTTTCTATCAAATTCCAGGGTCTTGTTATTTTTTATGGCTGAGTAGTATTCCATAGAGTATATATACCACACTTTTCCAATCCATTCATCAGTTTGTGGACATTTAGGTTGGTTCCATGTCTTGGCAATTGTGAATAATGCTGCAATAAACATGGATGTGCAAGCACTTTTCTGACTGAGCGTTCTCCTGTCTTTTGGGTAAATACCCAGAAGTGGGATTGCTGGATCAAATGGTAGTTCTATTTGTAGATCTTTGAGGAACCTCCATATTGTTCTCCACAGTGGTTGAACTAGTTTACCTTCCCACCAACAGTGTAGGAGGGTTCCCTTTTCACCACATCCCCGCCAACACTTATCACTTTTTATATTCTTAATCTTTGCCATTCTGACAGGGGTTAGGTGGTACACTGATCCACTTTCAATCACTCTAGATGAGTGTATTTTTTCAAGACTATTATATAAATAGAGTCATGTTAAGTTTTAAATATTTGGGACCAGCAGATGACGTAGCTGTTACGTCACTGGACTCCCACATGGTCAACTGCAGTTTGAGTCTCAGACCCAGTGGCTTGAAAATCTCTCCAGAGAGACCAGTGGATGGCGTAATGGTTACATTGCTGGACTCTCACTTGGTCAACTGTTGTTTAAGTTCCAGACCAGGTGGCCTGAAATTCACACTGGGAGCATGTGGCTGCATCCCCAAAATCCCAAGAGGAGAATGAAAGAGAAGGGATTGCAGCATGGCCATCCCCCCCCACACCGGGGGGGAGTAATTTCTTGCTTTCTGACTCTGTCTCCAGTGAGCGCACGTGCCCTATAGCAAAAATCTCTCTGGAAAAAAAAGAGAAAATCACACCAAGTGTGCATACGTTCATGCCCAAGATCCTGGGAGGAGAAGGGATTGTGGCATGGCTATCCCCCTAGGGAGTGATTTCTCACTTTCCTTTTCACTGTGTGTGTCTGTCTCTCTGCAGTGAGCATACATGCCCTAAGGCAAAAAACCGCTTAAAAAAATTTTTTTTTAATATGTGGCTTTTCCTATGAATTGTCTGACACATTTAACCAAATTGTTAACAATAAATTAAGAGCATTATCCTCTTCCCTTCAGGTTTACTTATTTTGCGGGGGAGAGATTTTTGCTACAGGGTGTGTGTGCTTGCCAGACAAAGTGAGAAATCACCCCTCATTGGAGTGGCCATGCTGCAGTCCCTTCTCTATTCTCCTCCTGAGATCTTGGGCGCACACACACATCCGCCTGACGTGAGTTTGAATCCCACTAGGTCTGAGACTTGAACCGTAGTTGACCATGTGAGAGTCCAGTGATGGAGCCACTACGCCCTCTGCTGGCCCATTCCCTTCAGGTGTATTAAATAAGGAGTCATGTCAATAGATGAAACCATAAAAGAATGTTACCTTCAACGGTACATGTAACTGGGACCAGCAGGTGGCATGGTGGTTAAGGCACTGGACACTCCCACATAGCCTATCATGGTTTGAGTCCCAGACATGGCTTTCTTTCTCACTCTCTCTCTCTGTGTCTCTCTCTGGTCAAATTAAAATAAATGAATGAATAAATAAAATAATTATTTTTAAAAAATAGTACATGTAACTATCTTTTTCCTTTTTATTAGGCCTGGGTCTCTGAAGAGAGGTCTCAATTCCCAGAGCTCAGATGACCACTTGAATAAGCGATCCCGCACCTCTTCCATGAGCTCCCTGACAAGCACATACACAGGTGGCATCCCCAGCTCCAGCCGCAATGCCATTACCAGTTCTTATAGTTCTACTCGAGGCTTCTCACAGGTACAGTGGCAACTCTTGGGTTCCCAGCATTAATTCATCGATTAACAAGTGTTTACTAACCACCTTTTTACCTGTCAGATGTTGGGATTGTGCCTAAGCTAGCAAAATACACAAACCCTTGAATAATAACGGTAGACCAATGGGACAGAATAGAAAGCCCAGAAAATAAGCCAGTAGATTTGTGGAAACTTGTTACAAAACAGAGCTGTTATTGCAGACAAATGGAAGAATTTGATTAAAAAGGTTAGAGTGAGTTTGGATTGCGTTGGGTCATAAAAGATGTATCCTGTAGGCACGTAGAGTTCAGTGGAAGTTTTTTAAGTAGAAAGTGGTCTTGATTGATTTTTAGAAAAGTATGTCATGGTATAGTATAATGTTGGCAACAGAGCAAACTTTACCAGATAGACTTGGGTTCAAATGGTAACTCTGACACTTAGTAGCTTGGTAAGTCACTTAAACTTTTTCTCATAGCTGAAGGATTGTTGTAAATATCAAAGTAGTGTTTGAAAAGCACCTGTTATAGTGCCTGTCGATAAGTGGATACCAGATATATGAGGGGTCTTCAAAAGGTTCTTAGAAAATGCATGTTACGGGAACCAGCAGTTAGCGTAATGGCTATGTCGCTGGACTCCCGCGTAGTCGACCACAGTTCGCATCCCGGACCCCATGGCTTAAAACTCACGCCGGGCGCGTGTGCGTGCGTGCCCAAGATCCCAAGAGGAGAATGGAGGAGAAGGGATTGCGGCGTGACCATCCCCCCAGGGGGTGATTTCTCGCTTTCTGTCTCTGTGTGTCTCTCTGTCTGTCTGGCAAGCGCACGCGCCCTATAGCAAAAAAAAACTCTCAAAAAAAAAAAAAAGAAAATACATGTTACAAAAAATCTATGCATGGATTTCCTAATTGTTTTGCATCAAAATAAACTTTAATTCTGTGGGTTTTTTTTTGTTTTGTTTTGTTTTGTTTTGTTTTGTTTCCATATAGCAGGTAGAAAAAAAGATAAAGCATTTGTATAGAAAGATGTTTCAGGAACCAGCAGATGGTAAAATGGTTACGTCACTGGAGTCACATGTATTCGACTGTGGTTCAAGGCTTAAACGCCAGGCACATGTATGTGCATGCCCAAAATCCTGAGAGGAAAATGGAGGAGAAGGGATTGCACAATGCATGGCCTGGGGGGGATGATTTCTCACTTTGTCTCTCCAGTGAGTGCATGCATCCTATACCAAAAATCTCTCTTAAAGAAATTTTTTTTCTGAGACAAGTTCATCATCCTGGAAGGCTCTTACATTAATATAAATGAACAATGAATGCCCTAGCCAGAGCAGTTGAGAGAATGAAGAAGTAAAAGAATATCTTTACCTCAAACACTCTCTGCTAGGCCTTATGCACTTTACTTGCATTTCTTCATTTAATCATCACAACAGTCCTCCTAAATACGTAATTATTCTTGTCTTAATCTTTTTTTTTTTTTTTTTTAATTTGTGTTGCTATAGGGTGGGTGTTCTTGCCAGAAACACAGAGAAAGACAAAGAGACAGAAAGCGAGAAATCCCACATTGCAGTCCCTTCTCCTCCATTCTCCTCTTGTGATTTTGGGCATGCACACACATCTACCAGGCATGAGTTTAAGCCGCCAGGTCCAGGACTCGAACTGTGGTCAATACATAGTAGTCCAGCGATGTAGCTGTTACACCATCTGCTGGTCCCAACATGTACTCCTTTTTTTTGGAAAGGTTTTTGCTATAGGGTGTGTGTGCTCACCAGAAACACAGAGAAAGACAGGCAGAAAACAACTCATCACCCCCTCCCAGGAGGGATGGCCGCTCCTCAATCCCTTCTCCATTCCCTCTTGGGATCTTGGGCATGCATGTACACATGCCTGGTGTGAGTTTAAGCCACTGGTTCCAGGACTCGAACCGTGGCTGACTTCATGGGAGTCCAACAACAGCCATTATGCCAACTGCTGGTCCCCCAACATGTACTCTTAATGCCTATTTTTCATGTAAATGGGTAGTTGGATCCTGAGGTTTGTTTAGATTCAGGTTCAGTTATTTTGGCAGAATACTTGATAGGTGGCACTGTTTCTTTTTTTCTTTTTTTTCTTTTGCTATAGGGCACGTGCGCTCACCAGAAAGAGAAAGACAGAGAGACAGAAAGCGAGAAATCACCCCCCAGGGGGATGGCCACACCACAATCCCTTCTCCATTCTCTTCCCGGGATCTTGGGCACACATAAACACGTGCTCGGCGTGAATTTAAGCCACCGGGTCCGGGGCTCAAACCGTGGTCGCCTACGTGGGAGTTCAGTGACATAGCCAATACGCTAACTGACACTGTGTTTCTTATTGCATCACAACAGGAGGCCCGTTATGTCTGGTTTTCCCAGTTTCAGAGTTGTGAATGTTGTTCACTTTCAGTAATGTGAATACTGAAAACTGGATTCAGGTGTTGCCCATCTGATCCATTAAGTTTTTTTCTATGAACTTTTTTTTTCTTGGATTTTTTGCTAATAAGGTGTGTGTCTTGCTGGAAAGACAGAGACAGAGAGAAATCACCCTCCAGGGCGAAAGGCCATGCCCCAGTCCCTTCTCTCAGGGTTTTGGGCATTCGTGTACACATACCTGGCGTGAATTTTAAGCTGCCACTTCTGGGACTGGACTCGTGGTCAACTACAAGGGAGTCCAGTGACATAACCATTATGCCATCTTCTGGTCCCTCTGTGAACTTTTTAAAAATACTTCTTCCCTTATTTAAATTTGACCAGAGAGAGAAAGGGAGAGCGAGAAAGCAAGCTGGGACTCAAACCACAGTCAACCATGTGGTGCAATCACAACCACCATGCCACCTGTGACTTTTTATCTGATGATTTTTCAGTCATTTATCATCTTTACCTATATTCATTGTTATATTAGGTTATGAAATGTTTGTTATTGAATTCTGTACTCTCTTATGTAATGATTTAACTGAACTTCTATACAGAACTTGTCCTGCCTAGAGGAATGACAGATTAATAAGGCATTGATTTCATAGCTCACTCCAAAAGTGGCCAGTGTGATTTTTAATGTACCTATTGATTATTTCTATGAACTTCTGAATTTTTCTAAACACTTACTGTTTTTCAGTGTACTGTAGTTTTTTTATTTTTAATGTGCGAACTTTTTCTCACTTTGGCCTATAGGAGCCCTTTGAAACTAGCTCCTGTATTTTTCTGTTTTGCCCTAGCAGTCTTTGACCAGCAGCTTCCTTGTTTTTTGACCTCCCAAAAAGTCTACTTTGTATATCTCCAGCCTTGACTGATGTTGTTTTTTTAAATAGGTTTGGTTTCTTCTAGTCTAAAGACAACAATCTTAGGTTCTAGAAAAGATAAGATATATAGATCCTCTAGAAAGAAACCTAAATTACTAGTTTATGATGATTTATGATGATGTTTTTAAAATCACATAGTCAAAGAATTAAACATTTTCAACAATGACAAATCTCCCTCATTCCTACTCCATCAGTCCTACTTTTCTTCTTTCTTCCTGTCTTATATAGTTTTAACATTTCGTATAAATGGAAATAGGATACTTTTTTTTTTTTTAGACTTTTGCCATAGGGCACATACACTCATTGGAGAGAGAGAGACAGTCAGAGGGAAAGTGAGAAATCATCCCCCAGGGGCAATGGCCACATTATAATCCCTTCTCTGTTGTTCTCCCAGAATCTTTATTTTTTTTTAGAGGTTTTTGCTATAGGGCGCGTGCACTTGTCAGACAGACAGAGACAGAGAGATAGAAAGCAAGGATTCACCCCCACAAAGGGGATGGCCACACCGCAATCCCTTCTCCATTCTCCTCTCGGGATCTTGGACACACACGCACACGTGCCCGGCGTGAGTTTAAGCCACCCAGTCCAGGACTCGAACCGCGGTCGACTACGTGGGAGTCCAGCGACATAGCCATTACGCTAACTGCTGGTCCCTTCTCCCAGAATCTTAAGTATGCATGCACATGCACCGGGCATGAGTTTCAGGCCACCAGATCCAGACTCAAACTGTGGTCGGCCATGTGGGAATCCAGTGATGTAACTGCTACTCCATCTGCCAGCCCAAGGATGCATTCTTTTGTGTTTGATTTCCTTTACTCAATTCTTACTTGTGAGAATTACACGTTATTGCATGTAGCAGTTCACTCATTTTCATTTCTCTTTACTGTCCAGTAATATGAGTACACCACATTTGATTTTCTTTGCTACCATCAGACACTTGAGTTTCCAGTGTGAGACCACTGTGAATGATGCTGCTGTGGACCAAGTCCTGGCGCACATAAAGTTATGTGTATGTTCACTTTTAGTAAATGTTGATAAACAAGTTTTTTTCCCAAGAGATTTTTCCTGTGGGCATGTGTGCTCACCAGACAAAAAGTGAGAAATCACCCCTCGGGGAGCTAGCCATGTCGTAATCCTTTCTCATCCATTCTCCTCTCAGGATTTTGGACACGCACATTCACGTGCCCAGTGTGAGTTTTCAGCTGCCAGGTCTGGGATTTGAACCACAGTCGGCCACGTGGGAATCTGGCAATGTAACCATTATGCCATCTGCTGGTCCCACTAAACAGTTTTTTTTTTTTAATGACTTATTTAATTGTATTCATTTATTTTAATTTGACCAGAGAAAAACAGAGAAAGTGAGAAAGCAAGCCACCAGGTTTGGGACTCGGACCATGGTCAACCATCTAGATATGTCCAGTGCTTTAACCATCATGCCATCTGCTGGCCCCTAAATAGTTTTTTAAAGTGGGTGTTTAAGTTTGTATTTCTTCCAGCAGAATATGAGATTTTGTTCTTGTTGTTCCATAGCCTAACACTTGATATTGCCAGTCTTTTTAGCCATTCAAGTATGTGTGTGAAGTAGTGTTCATTGTAGTTTTAATCTGCATTGCCCTGATTACTAATGAGATAGAGGTATGGACTGTTTATTAGCCATTTGTTTATCTTCTTTTCTCAAATGTCTTGTCAAGTATCT